ACAGTTTAGAACGCGTCGGTGGATATGTTAATAAAGAGGAAATCTCCTATCCGAGGGGGGAGTTTGTAGTATTTTGCTCCCCCCATTTTCTGCTGGCTTTAGCACCGGGGGCGCACCTGCCACGGAGCAGTTGTGCACCACAGGCCAGACGGGCACGTAGGTGAAGAAGAGCGACCTATGCCTCAGAGTTGCTGTCATGGTTCCGGCCCACCCATTGTGTCTCGAGCATTAGGTTAGACAGAGTGAAAAGTTCTCATCCCCTCTGTTTAGGTCAAAACTGTAGCAATTGACGGTCATCGAAATCGGGATCTGGAGTGAGTGCCAATCCACCTCGACGCAAATATGGGGGCAGCAGGGGTGGCGCAACCACGTCTTCACTTTTGAGTGTATACGGGCGGTAGGCGCGATGTCAGAGGTCATCGACTGGTTTCAGTGTACGGCGTACGCAAGCTCATGTCAATGCGGACGAGCCCGCAGTGAAGAGAGGGGGAATAGAGGGGGGCGATCAAGAGGAAGGAACCCCACGACAAGCCGCGAGGATTAGGGCACGGCTAAGAAGTGGCCCATGAAAGCCTAGAAAAATGAAAATGGAAGTGAAAGTCCTCAGGTACAGCTCCAAGGACCAAACAGCAAAGTCTAATAAGAAGCCTTCAAGCGCTCCCACGGGGCACTTGCCCGATCCCTGCCGTCGAGTGGCAGGCAGAGTTGGCAACCCTCATGCACAGCACCCCAAGCTTGCGGCCGTCCCACTCATTCTATTTTATGCCAGAAATCAACGAGAGGTCCTGCACCAGTCACTGGCAGTTACTTCTGGGAGCTACTGCTGAAGCTAATTGATGCGATTTTTTTGGGATTGAACTTGTCGGCCGACAGGAGCATCATGAAATCTCGGCCGTGCACCGTCCTGCTACCTACTTCCTTCACTGCTCAAGATACTGAATACCACCGGCAAGTACTCTGCATCGCAGTTTTGGAAGCAAATACTTTTGCGGTTTGGCATTGTCAAGCGTCACACTTCCCCGGCCATCGCCTCCTCGACGCTCGGGTTGCAGCCGGTTACAGCCACAGACCCCAGAGATATCCTCAAACTTCCACTTCCTAATCTCCTGAGATTTCCAAGACAACAACCAACAGGAAACCTGCTTAGGTAGCTTAACCCTGCTCCCAATAGGTGTACCAGCATTTCCACTGTCATCACTGACATTCCCAATCATGCGCGAATACAATCGTAGCGGTACCGTATGTTCCAACACTCACATATTCTTCCAGTGCATATCTCATTCGATGGCACTGTCTTCTCTTCCTGACTATTGATGTGCGGTTCAAATAGGCGCCGCCTACTCGGGCGCACGCCGTTTCTGGCGGGGAACTCATGGCCGACATCATATCTCACTGTATCTCTGTAGATGTCTGCTATGATGACATGAATCCTCTTGTTTTCGTGTGACGATACTTGTAGATCTGCCCAGTGCCCGCGCATCGCAACCAGGGAAGATCTGGTCGGCCGCATTCCGCACCCTCCCAAGATGGTACCGGCTTGTGCAGACCGAGACGCCTTCTTGTTCATGTCTGTCTTGCCTCGGCATATGGGAAAGGCCCTCCGAGGGAAATAAATAATTGTGTTGAAGCTATCGGTGGTGATTTACCTCGAGTTCAAACGGTATTGATTAGGTTGATAGGTATTCGTAACTGTGATTGGTAGAATGAATGAATATAGCCAGTCAAGAAACGTCATGGAATTTCTAGAAACTCGACACAACATTATCCTATACAAGGACGCTGTCTCGAAGATAGTCTCTTCAGGGTTTAGGTTGTTGGATAGGCGATGGCAGATTTGCACTGGAAGTGGACTTTCATATCTACCTTGGTGTTCAGTCAAGCCAAATTTTGCACACTAATCCCACAGTCCTCACCGAAGCTGACACGCTGATAAGGCTGTTCGAACAGGCGGGGCACGGGTGCAGCAGGCCTCCCAAGGCTGACTGCCCCGGCACAGCATCTAGTTTCAACGGCTGGATCTGTTGCCCGGTGGGGAGATTCCAGTAGCGCCCCAATTTTTGCCCTGAAATGCCCACTCAATTGAACGAAGCCAACCGTTACCTATGAGCATTTAATGTATTCGGCCAGTAGCGAGTGTATTAGCGGCCCTGCCTCTCGACTCATGCTGAATGTGTATTTCCTAAACTGTATTAGTGAATTTTCGGGGATATGTTTGGGTTTTATCGTTTTCTTAGCATGGGTTAGCTAACCCACATTTCTTGAGGAAAAACTCGTGCCCATGAAGAATATCCACGGAAAACCCACATCTGACTCAGAGGGAGCAGGAAGCCAATATGTTGGCACACAACCACGGTACATCATCAATTCAACAAGGGCCGCTGGTCTAGTGGTATGATTCTCGCTTAGGGCTACACCCTACAGCAGTGTTTGCGAGAGGTCCCGGGTTCAATCCCCGGGTGGCCCCTTCTTTTTGTCGATTTTCTGTTTCGCATCATTTTTGGAGTTGCGTGCTGTCTGGTGTCAGTTGCTCAAACATTTTTGCCGCCATGGCATCTTTAGATGAACGGGAAGGTGGGGGTCATCCTCTAGAAAGCTCGGACCATGGACAGGGCGGGGGTCGTTTCGGCAGCAGGCACAAAACTGCCAACGACTTCCTTCACCTTGCCCTTCTATGCTTTTTTTCGCCTAATGGGCTTGCACGGATGGTCATGTCGGAATTAAGCAACCTAGTCGTTCTCGGTCGTGTGGCGGCCGCCGAGACACCAATGGGCGCAACATGCTAGGGATGGATTTAATTTGTCCTTGGCGCGAGCAAGTGCCAAACTTCCAGTTCACGTTCGGATAAGTTACGGATGGAATCACACTTGATACAACAACGATCAAAGCCAAAATTCAGCTGGCCGGAGCAGGGCCACGACGGAATAAGTTGGGCAGTGCGGCTCAATACAACACACCCTCACGAAGCTTTCGTTCCAGGCTTTCGAGCCATCCTGGCACTCGCCAAGACAATAAGATTTGCGGCTATCAGGTCACGATGCCAAGACACAAGGCACCAGTTAAGTTTGCTGAAATGCGCCTGGGAAATCATTCACTAGTACGTACTCAGCCACACATGAATGTAGGTCATGCGAGGAAGGACTATCAAGATCTGCTTGCATTTAACCTCATAAGGTCGTGGGTGCCCAGTTTTCATCATCGGTTGCAGGGGGTACATCAAGAATTTATCGACATCGCCTGCATCGTGGATCCTGGAAGAAAAAGAAGTGCTCTCAAGCCTCACTACACATATACAGCACGTCTTATCACGCCAATGCAAATAACTCAGCACCTCGTCGCGGCCTCTGCGTCGTTCGCCTTATTCCAGACGGCATCGGCAAACAATGGCGCACCACTCCTGGCACCAGTCCACAGCATCGCCGCCCGGGACGGCACGGAGAGGCAATCCAACAAATATTGCCGTGATATCACCTTTATCCACAGGACAAGCTTCGCGTCTCCGCTGGTAGACGACTGCAAGCTGCTCGCCTTCAACATTGACAAGGGCGGTGACTGGTCACCCCCAAATGATGGTTTCCAGCGTGGTATCGCCCGATTTGGTACCTGCGCGTTTGGCGCTGCTGGGAGAATATTTGACAGGACTTCGAGGGGTGGCGACTTTTTCGTTGGGAACCAGGATATTATCGACCTGATCACCGAGTCGATTCAGAGATATCAGTATACGACGCGCGACGGAGATGTTGTGGTCGGATCCGAGGGTTTCATGAGGTGCACGCCGGACGGGAACTTCGATGGTGATGTCGTAGTCAACTTTGGCATCTATCACAGCGGTGGTGAGAGAGGTGATCCGGCAACTGCTGGTTCTGCAAGGATGGGTCCTAGTCCGGCTTCGGGACTGGTTGTGTGCTTGGGTATGTTGTTTGCGCTTTGGACAAGCCGCTAGACTACTACCGAGGTGGCAGGAATTTCGAGGGCGAGGCCCGGGACGGCTCATTGTAGCGGCATAACGAATTCCTTTATCTGCCTAGACTGTATCTTTTTGTAATATCAACCAGACCAACTTCAAAGCTCCCTTTAAAATAGAAAGAGGCAGTGCTGCTTAGTCCCAAGATGCCACTTTCAAGCACCAAATAGTGCGTCGAGTAGAATCTTCCTAGCCCCCTATTCCGTAGCCCTTGTCTGGCACAGTTGCAACTCCCCAAATGCCTCGCTAACGACTGGAATCTCCATCAGCTCCTCCAGATACCCAGCAACACTCGGTGCCACCTTCCGCATCTCCTCGTTCAACAGAATCGAGCCGGCGAGGACCAAGGGCCCGGCCACCATGACATCCGCCATCGTCAGCTCCTCCTCGACCAAGAACTTGCCGCTCCTCGCCCTCAACCCGACCTCGAGCTTTCCTAGTGCCCGCTCAAAGTTGGTTGCGAAGTCTGGGTAAAGCGCTACATCAAACGGCCAGACCTTGAACGTTGTCATCAGACTAGCCGGCAGCGCGTTCGCCGTGAGCTCGTGGTCCGCATAGCACGACCACTCATCAATCTTGGCCTTGGGCCCGCTGGCGGCGACGATCAGGATCTAGTTGGGGTCAGTTGGGTCAAGTGACACAAAAAGGGGGAGTCCGAGACGAAAAAGGGGCGGTAAACATACCCGCTGGACGCGGAAGTTGCCCGGGTAGGAATAAATGGTGCCGAAAAAGGCCATGACTGCGGTTTTCGATATGGCTATTTGGATTACTAAACTACAACAGTTTCGGCTGCGATATTGATTCAACTTGTTTGCTTCACGCTAATGCTAGACGTGTAAGTGCACAAACATGTATCGCCGCGGCCCCTGATCCTGTCGAGCTTACAAATGGGACCGCATGTTATTACCAACAGAAACAGAGATACAGACCAATTAAAAACACAACACAACGGCACACAAAACACAAAACACAAAAGCACAGCGTAAGAAGTTCAAAAATGAAGCCAACGGGTTAATCAAGGCCTACTCATCACCAATAGTGGAGGAGCTAAGAATCGAACTCGGGACTTTTCGCAGTTGAGAAGCTGCAAAGCGAACCTACCAACTGAGCCACACCCCCCTGGTATAGTTGATGTTGATGAAGGTGAGTATTCTGCACCAGCAAGCTCTGCCGCCAGAGTTGAAGGTGTTGGGAATAACCCTCCTTGAGACATTGGAAGCAGTTGAGAGTAGAGCAAGGGCCCTGCTGTATTACGGACACGGCATTCCTCCTCTATCATTCACACGACAAGTCGACATGACCTACACTCTACGATCTGTGATCCATTCCAGCCTCACAACGCCCGCTCAACAAACCCTACTATGTATGCCACAAGTTGAGCAACGAGCATATATACATGCACAGCCGTAACCCCCCCTCCATCTCCACAAAGCCTGTTGAATGCATTCTTACAACCTTACCTCCACTCCCATTATCTACACACTCCCCTCCTTTGTCTTACACACTGGACACCCCCCTGTAACCTTGTCTCTCAGCAACCTTGCATGCGTGACCTTCGCCCCAACCAGATGCGACCTCTGCTCTGCCATGACACCAAGTAGATCTTCATCCACTGTCTCCTCCGGATGCAACGACTCCAGCAAGTGCCTGAGATGAAACACATGGCCACATGCGAAACCCATGAGCGTCTCCTTCTCCCACTCGATAAACGGCTCGCAGCACTGCGCGCAGTGCCCGGGCTCCCATTTCCTTGCCGCACCCGGGGGCTTTGTGACGCCATTGGCTTGTTCTTCACTCTCTTTTATCCCCTGTCCCGGAGTCGGCACATCCTTGGTCTCCACGTCGACATGATCCGCCGAGTGCACGACGACTTCGAACTTGACTCCCTTGCGCTGCCCATTACGGAGCAAGTTCTGCGCTGCGGCGACTTCACTTCGCAGTACCTTTGCTACGCCCGAGCTAATGCTGTACTGAATCTCATGCTCCTTCATGATGTGTTTCAACCCTTCCCTCAGTCCCTCAACTTCCAGTCCTTCGGGGATGCGCCGCACCAGCGTTATCGGGTTGATCGCAGTCCCAACCTCCTCAAGCAGACCGCGGATGAAGCGCGGCTTGTCCATACTGTAGTTGAGCAAGTCCTCCCACAGGTCTGGGTCGTCTTGTTCCTTGGCGAAGGCGATGGCCCGGCTGACGTCGCCGAGCCGGTCGATGATGAGGGTTAGGGCGCGTTTCATCTGGCCCGTCTTGGAGTAGAGATAGACGAGTTCGGGGATGTAGTTGAAATGTTCACATTCTTGGGCCGCCTATCACTGCATTTAGTCTTGAAACTTGGGGGGTCTAGGATGTCGGGGCTCCTGGCTTACCTTTTCGAACGCATAAGCGGTTGAAGTCTTCAGAAACGCCATAAGCAAGGACTGGTCAAAGACGGCGAACAGGTGAACGGCAAGGTCGGCAAAGTTGTCGACCAGGGACTGAGTGTCTGAAACCAGCCGAGCGTGGGACTCGCCGCTGTGCTCGTGGATACCCTCTCCCCGCCACAAGCCTCGGAGATAGAAGAAGGTGTAGCGGTGCAGCTTTTTCCGCTCAAGCTGAGTGACGACATCATCTGGCTTGACAAGCCCATGCTGCGCCTCGTCGACCAGCAGCGTGATGGCTTCCGAGGTGGCTTCCTCGAGCTCCTCCGGAGTCATTTCGTTGATGCGGTCCGTGGGCACCCGTAAGCCGATGAAGCTAGGAATATCATCGGCAACGACCTCCGCAAGGTGACCATCCTTGACCAGTCGCATTGCCGAGTCAGCATCTTGGAGCTTGATGTAGGACTTCAAGGCCTCCCTGTTCCGCCCGTCGGCCTCATAGAGCTTGGCTAGGCTTTCCATGACAATCCGCCAGTCTCTACCAACCTCCCCATCCTCGATACTGTCTTCACGCACGTCGCGATAATCGAGCTGATTGTTCAGAGCAGTCGTGACAGCACTGATGTTGAACAGATCAGGAGTCCATCTGTCTAGCAAATCCTGGAATCTTGGTTTGCTGACTTCGAGGTAATGCCCGAGCATTACTTCGTAGATGGTGCCCGGGATAGGGAGATGAGTGCGTTCTATAGGTATGTAATCCACGATTTCGTCGAACTTCTTAGCTCCGGCGAACGTCCACACCATTTGCTCCCACTTGTCTGGGGTACCTAAGACCTTGCCGCACACTTTTCCGGCCTCTACCCAAGCGCCAGCTTGGACGAGGGCTTGGACCCACATGTCTCCTATGTGCCGCTTCTCCTTTTCGGCCGACGAGTAAAAGTTGCGCATGTCGTCCATGACTGATGAAGTCTCGTCATAAAAGTCGTCTGTGCTTTGTGTACGATCTGGCGTTGCTGGAGCTTGGTCGAAGGACCTCTCGGGCGAGCCCACGATCTCCGGGTGTTCATCAACCAGCTTCCATGCCTCTTCATACTGCTTGTGCTCCATTAGCCACGAAAGGTGATCGCCTAGATCCCTCTGTGTCGCTAGCACGCAGTCGTATGGGCTGTGGATGAAGATTTTGACACCAGGCTTGGCAAGATTCGGATGCACAGTGCCACGTCCACCGCGTAGCGTTGAAGTCATGGTACCTGTCGTGCTGGCGACTCTGGAGGACGTGGCTCCCTCATTGCTGTCCTTGCTTTTTACGCTCGCCGCTGAACTGAACAGTAATGACTTCGGGTTCAGGGCGGCATTCAGCATGTCGGTGCCAAATCCAGCCAAGGTCTCCAATGCGCCTCGAGAAGACGTTGCAGCGGCAACGTTTCGAGCAGGCAAGACGCCCAAATGATAGTCGTTCGAGGACAGCCGCTCAAAGCGGCTGACGCTAAGTCCATCTTGGTCAACCTCGACCTGCGACGTGAGATCGATGAGTCGCAACTCTGGCGGGGGATTGTTCTGTCTGCGCCGTATCCCCCCTGAAGGTTCGCTCCCCGTCGATGTTACTGAGGATGTGTGCTTATGACCGCGGATCGCCTTCACTTCTTCCTCGTCCTCCTCCTTGTCCGGCAAACAAAAAGCAAGCACTAATAACAAATTCTGGGTATATAACGAGATGCCGGATATGATGCAATCCATGCGAAATCTGCAGTACGGTCAGCAACATTTCGCTCAGGTTTTTTTCTCTAAAGAAAGTGAAGCACTCACTTTTGCGCGGTTTCTGCCCGGGGGGGTGACCTTTCCCCGGCGTTCTTCCCAACGCCAATGCTACCGGGGTGGACATGGATGATCCATATGGTACCACCCCATCCCACCAGCAAACGCTCGATCTTTTTGGTACTCTTGAGCTGTTGCTGCTTGAGCTTCTCCGCCGCTGGCGATTTGATGACATCCTGATCCTCTTTAGGAGGCTCGTCAGGCTCAATCGCTTGCTCATCGATCCATTCGACCCTGCCTTTCCAAACGCTAGCCATAGTGTCCCACTCCTCTCCATCGGGTCTATCGGCATGACCAAAGCGTTTCCAAGCGTCATCTGCATCCGTGCTGTCGAGATGCAGCTTGGTGCGCATAATTTTGATGCCGTGTTCGTTCAGCCATGCCACATACTTGCCGGACAAGGACCACTTAATGGTGTTGATGATGCCCTCGCCTTGGTGTAGGACTGTGTCCTTCCCGCTCGTGGCTCCCACCATGCTTCCGAGCCAGCCGGCGGCCTGCGCCGTTGCACCCGTGGTCATGGCCGTACTCCGGCCCTGGGGCGCACCAACAGTCAGAATGAGCTGTCCCGATAGGCCTCCGGATAGATATGTCCTGTCGGTCTTGTATTCCGGCGACAGAGCGACGGCCTGTACGGGCCGGGCAAAGTTTCGCAATTGCACATCCTTCACGTCGGTCAGAGACTGTATGCAGATGTTCCCGTCGGTCGACGATGTAGCTATGTATATGTTATTCGACGGGGTGTTTGGCACGGAGCTGTAATCCTTCGGCTTTCTCGACGCGGCGGGCGAAGCTTGGCTTTCGGTCGTTGCCGTTCCTGGTCGCACCGGGCTGTTGACCGCCTGGGAGGCAAGTCGCGCAGCTGTTTCCGCCTTGAAAGTTGGGAGGGGAGGAGGGAAAGGCGAGATCGAAACACAGGTGACGGACGCAGAATGAGCATGGTAAACGCGGAGGGAGTGGAAAATCGGGATTTGGATAACATGCTGCGACCTAGGTTAGCGACTAAAGATCGAGAATTGACCAGAGAACTTACAATGTTGCCGTTGTGCGTTCCGACGATCTGGGATCCGGTAGAGGTTAGCCAGCCGCGCGGAGGCATGCGGGTGTGGTGTCAGACCATTTTGTCTCCAGCAACAAGAAAAGAGCTCGTGGCATCGCCGTTCCTATAGACAGGGCCGAGATGGGGAGTGAGCCGGGCGTATTTGAGCCTGGGCTCATCGTCATCATCGTCGTCCTCATCCTCATCCTCCTCTTCGTCGTCGTCATCCTCGTCCTCGTCCTCGTCCTCGTCCCCGTCCTCGTTCTCTTCCTCTTCCTCTTCCTCGTTATCCTCCCCTTCCCCGTCCATGCCACCATTTCCATCCCCGATATTGTCTGTTGTGCCCCCCGACTCCTTGTCGGCATCTGCGTCGTCGGCTACGGGTGCCTGGCCGGGCTTGTCTGGGGATGGTGTGGTGTCGACGTCTCGCTCGGGAGCTGCCTCGGCAATCGGCTGCGACTCGTGTTTGGTTGCATCGTGGATTTCCTTGTCGCCTGCGTCAGGCGAAGCTTCCGTCATGTTGATGGGACCGGCGCCAGCGGCTTCATGGCGTGTGGGCAATTGCAGGTGGGAGCTTCAGGAGGAAGAGGAGCTTGGGGGAGCACAAAGCTACGTCAGAGCTCCCTGGGCCTCAGGCCCAGTTTGGCGCTCTGGGCTCGGGATCGGGCCCTGCATGGATCTGTCGAGCTTTTGGCCAATCATCGTTTGCCCCTCACGGATGGTGGGGCATTTCAACTTCGCAGACTTGAGGTTGGGGTTGGGCGTCGCGTAAACGCGCTTTCTCTTTTTGGCGGTTCGAGACGCAGCACCAGAAGCCAACGCCAAAATCGTGCAGCAACCTCAGGTGCTTGCAAAGGCAAACTTCAGACGTCGCCAATTGCGCTCCATCCCACCTCGCCAATCTCGCTGCT